CCCTAGCTATTTTACCTAAGAGTGCTACCTGGGGTGTCCACAGCCATCACATTCCCAAAGGCACAAAACAGATCAACAAACACTGCAGAGGTTATGAATATGCATTCCTGTTCTTTCATTCCAAGGTACTTCTTCTATTAATTTGGGACAATCTGGGTACTATCTATACAAAGATCACATAATTTGTGATCCCTTAGAAATAGATGTGTGCAATGTTTATAATATCCTTTAAAATAAAACCAGAGCAACTAGTTCTTGCAGAGCAGACTCTCCAAAACTACACTTTTAAAAAGCACTAACATTTTTAATTAATAAGTTCATTACGAGCCATACTTCTTAAATTTGTTGTAGTGAAACATATCTTTCACACCAAGAAGTACTGACCTCAGAATTCTGTTTAAGGAATTTATTAAGCACTCCACATCACCATTTATACAGCTAAACTACAATTTTCCGGCACTTTTCTACAAAGTCCATACTTTCTTCTCCATTAAAAACAGAGTCTCTACAAACTCTTCCAAAGCTGCAACAAGAAACTGAGAACTGAAATACTTTTTTTGGAAAATTGTGTCTGAATATAGTGCAATGAATAACACTGTTTCATATGAGACCACTTTAAAATGGTCACACACGTTACAGACCTGAGGCAGTATTCTGTAAGCTGCTGCTCTGTGCTTCCAATCCCAGGCGTACACATTCTCAAAGACTCTCTCAAGCTAAAGAACTATTTAGCTATTAAAGCAGCATGTTCCCATCCCTTCCAATTTCACAGGCTCAAGTTAACTGGAATTGCCACGATAATGTAATACAGCTTTCATTAAATATCAGAATATTTCACAAGGATAATAATCCTCTCTGCACACAGGTGCCCATGTCTCAATATTGCTTCCATGCATCCAATTCAGTAGTGTGTCAGATACCTAAAACCCTCTCATATATTGGCATCAAACTAACTCAAAAATAAAAGCTGAAAATCTCACCCAGTCATTTCCTGTTTCAGAAAAGTCATCCAAAACCTATTTCTCCCTTCAATTGTCCACAAATTAGAAACCCAAATACCTAAGCTTTCATCATGTTTTTTGACTAGCAAAAATGTTGTTGGCTAAAAGCTTTTTTATTCCTCAGAGAAAAAAAAAAAATTTAGTGTCACTAAATACCTTTCTAAACTAAGGAATCACAAAATTAGCTTAAGATATATATGTTAAGTATTTAACATGCACAATAGAAATGAAATATATAGTAGGAAAATAAAATGTGAAACAAACTGTGTAGAATATTTTTAATTATGAGGACCAGAGTTACTGTTATCTTTAGCTTCAGCTAGACTATTTCCATTGGAAGGGACCTACAACTGCCTGGTCAGCTCAGGGCTGACAAAAGTTAAAGCATGTTGTTAAGGGCACTGTGTGAATGCCTCTTGAACACTGACAGTAATGGGGCACCAACCATATCTCTAGCAAGTCTGTTCCAGCGTATGACCTCTCAGTAAAGAAATGCTTCCTGATTTCCAGTTTACACCTCCCCTGACTACTTTAAAATTCACCAAAACTACTATGCACTTACTTGTTCTTTGATTTCAGCAACAGTAAACAAGGCAGACAATTTACAAAAATTTATGGGTTGAAAAATATTTCATCCCTTGTGTAGGATATTAGTGGAAGGTGTCCCTGCCCATGGCAGGGGTTGAAACTAGATGATCTTTAAGGTCCCTTCCAACCCAAATAATTCAGTGATTCTATTTCAAGCCCCCTTTTTTGCCCCCGCCTAGAGGACAGTATCATGAAACATAAAAGAAGCAACAGAAATGGAAGTATAAACAATACTTACTGTATTGTTATTTATACAAAAGGTATAAAACAGACAACAACAAATAATCTCTACAGTAAGAGTAAGCACATCTTCCCTTACATCTTCCCAATAGGTGGCAACAGAATACCAAAAATACAAAGTAGTTCGTAATTCTTTCTTGATCTACAAAGTAAATAAGTTGCCTTATTACAACTTCTGTCAAATTGCACCAGCAATTTCATTCAAATAAATCACCGCATCTCAGCAACAGAAATTGTCAGGGCAGTTCATGTCAAAAAACAAAGAATTCACAGAACAGAAACAAAGGATTTTCATAACGACAAGCTTTTGAAGAAAAACTGATGGCTTTAATACTCAGACTTATCTGAGTGAGTCAACTACTCCAAGCAGGAATTTACAGTACCAGAATGTTTCTGCACATTGAAGAAGAAATGTTAAGGAAGAAAGATAATTTGAGAGGTTTTTTTTTTTTCTGAATCTACACCTTGGTCTTTAACAGTATTTATTTACAAGACTGAAGAAAGCAGTGAGCATTTCTATAGTTTTCAGCTGACAATCTCCAACTTTATCAGCGGTACCAGGTCCATACTAACTCCCTAATTCTTTGTAAGAAATTACAAGAAATCAGAGTTCTTCTTTCCTTGACAGTTGCACAACTGTTTCAATGGTACAGAGGTATACAAATCAAGCCTAAATAATAACTACTTACTTGCTTTCAAAACCAGCTAAGTCACTGTCCAAAGAAATGGTCTCTGTTGTAATCTCCACCTTCCTCACACTGCCAAAGAAGTCTGTTATCAGAACGTTCTGTGGGTCTCGCTGAAAGAGATCAGTTCGATGCCCAGGCGTAGAAACACACAAACTTTTTGGACAGACCTGAAACTGGAAACCAAGATGGACAATCATATCCTGTCCCTCACTCATCAATTCTCTAATATACCTTCCAAAAATAAATCATTACAAACAGACAGATGCCACACATAACTTGCATTAATTTCAGTACAAACCTCACAGCTGGAAAAAAAAGATTGAACAAAAACATTAAATGGACATAAACATCTTGATTATGCATTTCAGAAAACCTTTATCCTCACAGTTATGCCATTTGAGTTTAGAAATGCTTCTGTGAAAGTCAACCATCAATTACAGCTAACTGATAAAGTGCAAAAATGTATTTCTGAGTATAGATGCAGCAGTACTGCTATAACTTTCCAAAAAGCACAAGTGGGTGTAAATTTTTCATATTTACCAAAGGGTGGCAGGTAAGGTTAAACAAGCCTTGATAAGCAGCTAATAGTAAAGGTTTCATAAAGAAGCAAGAATTTGCATTTTGATTGAAAAGGAAAAAAAGAAAATCTTATTTCTAGTTTATAGTCTGAAAATTAATGCAGAACTAGATCTTCAAATATCAAAGGTGTTTTATGTACATTAAGTTCACACAGACATCTTGTAAAACCTACGAATTAGCTACATATATTATTATTTATTTTACCAGTGTATTTTGTCTACATATCAATTCCACTATATACAGCACACCTTGCAACACCTGGAAGACAAGAACAGCACTAACAAACTGTTTTCAACGGACTCAATGCTGTATACAGGTACATTTGCAGAAAATAAGTAGATGTTAACAGTAACAGGCCTATTGTAGCATTTAGAATATCTGACAAGACAGCATGCCTATTAAACAACAAGGTTTTTATCTATCCAGCAAATACTCCAGGAAAAAACAATGCATTTTGGATACAATGCCTTTTTGCAGAAATCCTGCCACACTTGCCACAGAAGTCTGGAATATTTTCCATCTGGACAGATTCCTTTTTTCAAGGATCTTGTAATGCATAATGTAATATAATAAATGATTATTGGATTGTATTTTTACTAATAATGCCACATAGCTTCAGCTGTCATGAAATACTGCCCAAGGCCTCACTCTCTCTAGCCTCCTTGATGAGCTTGGAAAGCCAGGTTCACGTCTCAGTCATTAGAAGACACTTCATAACTAAACACACACACCTACTAGACACAGG